TTTGAGATTACAGGACGGGGCTGGGGGGAAGATGGGGAATTGTTACAAGGGAAAGATAGACGGCAGTGAAAATGGTCAGCTATGGTCACACAAAAATGAGTCTCACGGCTACATTGTGGAGTCAAAGATACATGCTATCGATAGATGGCTCGTTTATAGGGCCCCAAACCATAATTTGTCAGGATGTAACATGGACAAAAAAGGCAAGGAAGGAAGTGCCATAAAAACCAGGTTATCATTGGGGGTAGCCTAAGAGGACCAGACGTCCCGCTTTTGGCGGGACAGTCCCGATTTTTAACAATTTGTCCCTTGTCCCGCTGTGTTTTAAAAAAGTCCAAAAGATTTAAAAGAAACTTTCCAAACATCGGGACTTTTTCAAAATGCCACGGGACGGGGGACAAATAGTTAAAAATCGGAACTGTCCCGCCAAAAGCGGGACGTCTGGTCACCTTAGGGTAGTGACGGTGGGGGAGGGGGTGCGAAGGGGGCTCCGGCTGCTGACAGTCCCCTCTGTTTTGACCTGGGTGGTGGTCACATGGGTGTCTGTGATGATGCATGAAGCTTCACGTTCGAGTTGTTTGTGCTTTTCTGTGTGTGCTCAGGTCGGGGGGAGAGGAGTAAGCACAGAGCCCAGGAAAGGACACTCTGAGCGGGGGCAGCTGCAGGAGGCGGCACTCCTTGTGCTTCTCTCCATTCTAAAGGCTGTTCGGCCATTAGCATCTCTGAGCCAGGGGGCGCCTGCTGTTGATGAGATGAGGGATGTTTCGGGGCCTCGCCATCCGGCTGCCCCCTCTGGTTGGCCTCCGAGCCTCCTAGACCAGTGGTCGGCAAACTGCGGCTCTTTGGCCCCTTGAGTGTGGCTCTTCTACAAAATACCACGTGCGGCGCGCTCATACAGTGCGATTGAAACTTCATGGCCCAGGCGCAGAAGTCGGTTTTCGGCCTGGGGGAGTCTATTTTGAAAAAGTGGCGTTAGAACACGCATGTGGCTTGCGTGCTGAGGTTTGCCGACCACTGGCCTAGAGCAACGTAGAGCCGACAGCATAGGCCTCAGGCCTCGCCCACGTGGTTCGGTGAGAGGGTGCGGCTGGCCCTGGGCGATGCTGGCCCGTCCTACTCCACAGCCAGCTCGGACTGAGGACACGGTGGAGGCTCGGTCCTGGGCTGTGTCCCGTGGTAACCTGGCCGGCCTGTGCTTATCGGCATGGGCTGGGGGGTGGGAGGACAGTCTCGTGGTGGCTCTCAGTGACAGCAGTGGCCTGGCCCCTCTCCACCAGCCCTGGCCAAGCCTCCTTCCGACCCAGGCAGACCCATTCTTAAAACTGAAGGATGCCTCAGCTTCAGCTGAGCCCAGAGACTTTGGCCATGGGCTGCGAAGAGAGGTGTCAGGGAGGCAGGGACCATCTGGGTTAGATTCCCTGTGTCACACCTCCTCTGGAGACTAAACACTCATCGAGGTAGGATGTCTGGGAGGCGTCGCCCCACAGTCTGGAGTGAGCCCATGGAGGGCGCACCTTTAGTGGCCTAGCGCGTGGAACCGCCCCTCAACGCCTTAGTTTCCGTTTGCTCGGAGGAAACTAAGACATCAACCAACCAGTTGCCAAGGTCACCCCGCTGATGAGTGGTGGGTGGGACTGACCTCCCCAGGGCCACAGGCAGCGCTCCTAGTCACACGTGGCCCCACGCGGGTCCTGGGTGGGGGTCTGTTCTTTTCCAGCTTTTCTGCGCCTTTTTCCAGGAGAAATTATCTACTTCCGGAGGCCGCTGCCTGTGCCTCCCTCCCGGGGGGGCCCCCCAGGGAGCCCCAGAGCAGCCGCACGGCGAGGCGGCCCCGGTCTCACTGGGTTCCTGCCCTGCCCTTGGCCCCGAGTCCTTCCAGTGGTGCTCAAAGTAGCACGGCCGAGCCAGGGCTGCGCAGGGCCAGGCTATTTTGACTGTGTCCTCAGGAACCATCTGCTCTGAGCTGGCAGAGGCTGGTCGGCTCCCACGAGCTGTCAGATGTGGCGCCAGGAATGTTCCAGCGCACACACCTGTCCCCCAGGGCTGCACCAGGCCGCTGTCCCCCACCCCACGGCCTCCGTCACGTGCCCCTGAGATCTTGCTTCCTGGAGAGAGGGGCGCTGGGACCCGCATTCTCCCGGGACGAAGGTTAACACCCTCATCCACAGAGAACACCAGCCGGCCTCCACAGGCTCCACTTGGCCCTCTCCGTGTAGCGGGAGCGTGTTCATCGGTGGGTTTGTGACACCCATGTACACAGAGGCCACACCAGAGCCTCCTTAGAGACAGCAAACACCGCTTCCTGGGGGCTGAGACCCCTTCTCAGGGGTTCTTACAGGGGAAGAGATTGGCATCTGGCTGGCTCATCGCAGTCCTAGTGCAGGGCTCCTGCCCCGAGGGCCCGCCCCCTCCTTCTCTGGGGGCAGCCCTCCTGACCAATCAGCACCCACCACCACCACCACCACCACCACCACCACCACCGCCACCTACACCCGCCCTGTAATACAGGGGTTTTCCTTTGGCCCAGCGCCCTCCCCTCTCAGCTCCGAGCTCTTCATGGCAGTGGCTTCCCGGCACCTGTAGGTGGTGAACAGGCGCGGCCGGTGAGGCCGGCTTTGCTAAGGGAATAAGCCGGCGTCGTGTGGGGGGGGGTGTTCACTCATCTGTTCCATACACGGCATCCTCCGCCTGCTGCTGGTCTGAACACGGAGCACAGAATCTAATAAGCCTGGGTGCTGCCCAGGATCCTTCCCGGATTGTCAGGGAGTGGGCTGTGCGGTCCTTCGCCTGCACCGAGGCCAGCTTTGCCCCAGGGCCGTGGTCGGCAAACTCATTAGCCAACAGAGCCAAATGTCAACAGTACAACGATTGACATTTCTTTGGAGAGCCACGTTTTTTAAACTTAAACTTCAAAATAGACTCGTCCAGGCTGTGGGATTCTGTGGAAGAGCCACACTCAAGGGGCCAAAGAGCCGCATGTGGCTCGAGAGCCGCAGTTTGCCGACCACAGCCCCCAAGGGATTAGGAACGGCCTCCCCAATACTCTGTGGGGAGGATTTCACCTGTGATAGGTCTTCGCAGGGAACGTGGGGGAAGAGCATCCGGAGAAGGAATCTGTGTTGCAGAGGCAGGAAGGGCCTCGTGAGGCCAAGAAAGCTTTGCTGTGTTCTCAGACCAGCTGGCCGTGGGCAGCTGGGCTCCGTGGTGAAGGGGATGGGAATCCCAGGGAGCAGGGTGTGGGTCTGTGTATCTTTCAGGCCCGGGCACTGGGCACCGGGCACCAAGGTGCAGTGAGTGTCTGAGTGGGCGCACAGAGCCCCTGCTGCTCTGCCTCCTGTGGCTGCAGCCTCTCCTCCCACCTCCAGCCGGAGGGACTGGCTCCTTGACATGGAGGTGCTTTCCTTCCGTTAGAATCTTACTATTGCACAAGTCACAAGTCCCGCTGCCCCAGCATGGTGGCAGGCGGGTCGGAGGTGTGAATTAAACAATTCGAAGTCTGATGACTCAGGCCAGGGGTGCGAGGCCCGCAGAGCCCCTTGCTTCCTGTCACGGATAGAGGGCGCTCCCGAGGCTGCTGATGGTAAACTCGCTCCTTACAGACCCTCGAGCACCTTGCTGACATCACCCAATAACAACAGCACGAAGGGCCCCTCTTGTTGAGCGTGCGCTTCCCAAGTATAATTTCATTCACCCTTTAGGTGGCTTTATAAGTGGCATGCCTGCGCTCACAGCTAGTCAGGAGCTGGGGTGTGTGGGTCCCAGTCTTTGGGGCTTTGGGAAGCCCAAACACCCCTCTACCACCCCCTCAACCCTAGGGAGTGATCCTGGCCTGCGGATGCTTCCGGGCAAGGTTCTGACCCACTCAGACACTCACCGCACCTTTATGCCCGGTGCCCAGGCCTGAAAAGACACACAGACCCAGCCAGCATGTGGCTCTCTGCCCAGGGAGCTGGAAGGACCCCTTCCCACTGCCTCTCAAAACCCCATTGTTCAGCGGGACCTGTTCAGCCTCCCCTGGCCTCTGGCCGACACCCACTCTCCTGAGCTCCTATGGCGCCCATTTCCCAACCCCAGCACCCGCCTTCCGCTCAGCAGTCACTGCTGTGCCGTCTGCATGTGGAAGGTGAGGTAATAAGACCAGGTCTCCGCCACAGTCTGTGAGAGAGACACGTGGTCGGGGCGTGGGCTGGAGAGCTGCTCCAGGGATGGCACAGACACTGCACCCCTTCCTCTCCACACCCCTCCCCCACCCCGCCACCCCCCCCCCCAAACCTTGTCAGATGGCATCAGGAGCGACGGGAGGGAAACTGGACTCGGCTCTGAAGGGCTGAGCAGCAAACGACAGGGAGCGCAGCGCAGGGCACACGGAGAAGCCGCACAGTGTGTGGCCTGCAGGACGGGAAGGCGGCACCGAGGGGCCTGCCTCACACGGGTGGGTGCGGGCCTCAGTCAGTGGAAGCAAGTGTGTGAAGCCTGTGCAGGCCATGACGTATATACGAGCAGTGATGTCGCTCCATCTCCTGCTTCCCAGGATGCCTAGCGTGAACCGGCGCACAGTGGGTACACAGTACATATCAGCTAACTTGCATGGAGTGGATCCATTCACTCCATTTACCACCTCCTCACGTGCTGTGGCTTCCGATGCCACTGTGTGCCTCCACACTGCATGCCTGCCCTGCTGGGGGAGGGGAAGGGGTCGGGGTGGGACCAGGTGAGGAGCATGTAGAGTGCCTCAGAGGCTATTAACATACGTAATGGTCCCGTTATGGGGGGTTGAGTTGAGGGCGGGGGGGGAAGGGGGGCCCATTGTGGAGCCAAAGACGTGGGGCAGCCACTCGCCAAGCCATCAGCCCATTCTTTTGGGAAATAAACATCATATTTTCTCCATTTGGGCTTCCACACCACAAGCCCAGGGCAGCGTCTGTGACACGGGCATGGTCCCTAAGGGGGCCAGGCCACCACGTGCCCACCCCTCACCAGCCGCTCACCTCTCATTTCAGCATCCCTACCCCACGGAGGATGAGAAAAGGCAGATCGCGGCCCAGACAAACCTCACCCTCTTGCAAGTCAATAACTGGTGAGTTAGCACCGTCCGCCCATGGGCTCTCAAGGCAGGAATGCACAGCCCAGAGGAGAGACTAGAAAGCCTCGTCCTGCCTCGGTCGGTCGGTCGGTCGGTCGCAGCCACCACAAGTCCTCCCATTGGGACCGGAAGCAGAAAGCCAGGATCAGCTTCATTTGCAGCTTCTTAGCGCCCTCTGCTGGGAAACTGTGCCAGGAACATCGCTGGCCAGAAAACCCAGCCCCCGCCGCACTGCAGACACAAGCGCCTGCAGCCAAGGACTGCAGGGGCCACCGGTGGTCACCTGGTCTGCCCCCCGCCCCGTCCCTCCTCATGTGGGCTTAACGTAAACTGAAGCCTTCTGCACAGCAGTGGTGGGAAGGAGGAGGAAGCGTCGGCCGTTCTGACCGCACAGGGGCCTCAGTGTCCCCTTCTCTGTGTCCAGCGGGGCTGTGAGAAGTCTGAGGGGGCGGAGGGTCTGGCTGGGTGGGAGCACACACAGGAGTTGGGCTCCCTGATCTGAGCCCTCGGCCCTCGGAGAGATGTCAGAGGTTAGTGCTCTCCCGTCCTCTGTTCAACCCCGACGGGTCCGAGTAAAGATCTCTGATCCTCAGGCATCCGTCCCATGCTGCCTCGTGGTTGACAAGCGACTCCATGAGTCCTCGGAGCCCAGAGCCCTCTCCCAGCTGGGCTGTCACCCCCAGTCAGACCCCAGTCTGTTGTGTATGGTGGACCAGCTGCTGGGTCTGGAAGCAGCTTAGCCCTCTCTGCTCACACACACACACACACACACACACACACACCCCATCTCCACGCAGGTGTGACTAACCCCACCTCCACGTTCACCCCTGGGCAGGTTCATCAACGCCCGGAGGCGCATCCTGCAGCCCATGCTTGATGCCAGCAACCCAGACCCCGCCCCCAAAGCCAAGAAGATCAAGTCCCAGCACCGGCCCACCCAAAGGTTCTGGCCCAACTCCATCGCCGCGGGGGTGCTGCAGCCGCAGGGGGGCGCCCCGGGGACCAACCCCGACGGTGAGGACCGGGCCTGGGGAGATCCACGGGCTGAACGTCTGCTCTGTCACAGCCAAAGGGTGTGGACAGACCGGGGAGGAGGAGGATTTGCATTAACGGGCCGAGAGCCATCTCCAGAGGCCGGGGGGGGGGGGGGGGGGGGCCAGTGGGCATCGGAGCCCCCGACTGCTCCGCGGAGCCCCCTCCCCGCTCCCACTCCCGCCGGAGCGGCTCAGAGCCGGCGCCGTCCGTACACACGGGAGAGGCAGCGGCTCGTCCTCACAGGCGAGAGGGGCTTTGTTTCCAGCCTCCCCAGCGCGCTCCTCACAGGCACCGTTTCCACTGCTGGTCGGTCGCCGGCGCATCATGAATAATTCAATGAGCCAGACATTTATAGCTCAGCGCAGGAGAGCGAGCTGGGGGGGGGGGGGTGCATGCATACATCCCTGCCTGCACGTGTGCTGCCCTGCCTGCCTGCATGTGTGTGTGCACTTAGGCGGCCGCATGGCGGTTCCCGTGTGAGGGGCAGCTGTCTCGTGAGGGATGGCGGGAAAAGCAGGCTGTGAGCTGGGTCAGCAGGACAGGGGGGAAGTCCAGCTCTCTCTCTCTCGTGCCTGACCGTGTCACCTCCAGCTAACACCTTCACTGTCTGAGTCTCAGTTTCCCCTCTCTATAAGGGATAACGCCTGCCCTGCAGAAGCGTTAGCAGGTCACATGTATTTAACGTGTTTCCGTAAGAGAAGCTAAAGGTGGCTGGGGGCGCTGCTGCTGGGAGGGGCAGGTGGGGGCTGAGCAGGGGCTTCAGAAGCCAGCAACTGCCAGCTCACCGCCCCCCGCCCCCCGCCCCCCCCCCAGCCGGCCCACCGAACCCTCCGACACCGAGGCCCCCGGCCTGACCCTCCCTTCCTCTCCCCTCCCCTCCCTCAGGCTCCCTCAGCCTGGACAACCTGCAGTCCCTGTCCTCGGACAACGCCACCATGGCCATGCAGCAGGCCATGATGGCCGCGCACGATGACTCGTTGGATGGGACGGAGGAGGAGGAGGAGGACGAGATGGAGGAGGAGGAGGAGGAGGAGGATCTGGAGGAGGAGGCGGACGAGCTGCAGACGACGAACGTCAGTGACCTGGGCTTGGAACACAGTGACTCCCTGGAGTAGTTGGCGGCCCGACGGCACTGACCACCGAGCAGCGGGAACGGCGTGTTGTCGGGGGGTTGGGGGGGGAGGGGACACGGGCAGGCAGCATCAAGGAAGCGAGGCCCTCGCTTCCCAGAACCGGTAGCTGGACACAACGCAGAGGGGACACCTGCTCCTTCCCACCCACCGAGCTCCTGTGACACCCGGCCCTGCCTCCCGGCCGCGGGGACCCTGCCGGGGCCGGCCACGCAGCCCCGCGGAGAGGCGGGGGTGAGGCCTGGATCCGGC